GAGAGAAAACGTCGAATAACAAAGATGATGAAAACTGACAACTAGAGGACTGTCTACGTTGCTATACATGCAGGGTGCATAGACTGACTGGGCACGAGCAGAAATGATTGGTAGAGCAAAAGGTATTGGAGATATGGGGACTCGACTGCGAAAAGAACAATGGAACGATGCTGGCCAGATGTTGTAATGGACGTACGGTTGCACTACTTGGAGCCAAGGGCAGGGAAGGCATCAAGGGAGGCGTCAAAGTGTGGCGGTGCTTGGGTACGATTTCCTCCACGGCCGCCGCGACCACCTCCGCGCGGTCCACCGCGTCCTCTCGGGGGACGATCTCCACGGAAGCCGCGGTTCGGCTCAGCAAACTGGATGTCGATGTGCAAAGCTTTTTCGCGAGGCTCACGTCGAATAATCGAGACTTCTTCCTCTTCTTTGTCGGGCACGACTTCCTTTTGAAGTTTCACAAGCTTTCCAAAGTTCTCCTCTTCTCCTTCTCCCGCCTTGCGAACGTTGAACTTGGGAGCCTCCTTCTGAAAACCAAATTATGTCAGCACAGGCTCTTTGTATAATAAATGCTATAGCAAAACAGAGGAGTGTATTTACGTACGCCAACCTTGTGGGCTTCAATGTATTCCTTCAATGTTTTCTGTTTGGCAAGTTCAGCTTCGAGAGCTTCTTGAGCCAGCTCCTCCGCCGTCTTTTCCCGCGGGACCTCCGGCTCCTCGGAGGCTACGATTGGTTCTGTTTCACCAGCGAGCTCATCCTATAAAATGGTTGTGCAGACAATCTCAGAAAGTAACAAAACAGGGGTCATAAATTCCCACCACTTTACTCTTTTTCAGATCTTATCAACACATACACAGGAATGCATTTTTCGATTTCTGCATTAGCGGACCAGATTGGTTACCTCTTGTCAATCTTAGGCTGGCGTCATACTGAGCCGTTAGTTCTGGAACAGTTCCAGCACAGCGCTCGAACTGCACAGCTGTGCTGGAACTGTTCCCGAACTAACAGATCAGTATGACGCCAGCCTTGGGACAACTTGACCGCCTTCCGAAAGCAGTGTTTCCGGAAACATTTGAAAAATGTCAGCAGAAACTAGCTAGAAACTAATTGAAAATTACAACTGGCAATCGTTTCGCTGCCACCATAGGTGGGTTTCAAACGAGAAAAAAATATAAAGACGAAATGCAGCTGTTTTTTCAATGAAAGAAAACATCGAATCCATTTTTTGCTGTATTCGCAGGGGATTGTGACAAGCGCATGACCGAATTTTCAAATCGATGAAATCGCAGAAAAAGAGCCAATTCCGGTCTTCACAACTACCACGGTCGTACTGACATGGACAGAGAATGCAGGCAAAAATTAGCTCAATAAAAACGCGAAAACCGCTAAGCAAAATGAAAGGAATCAAAGATTTCTTGGATGTTGGCATGTCTTACAATGCGCTTAGAGTATGTGCGTGAGAGTCCGATATTACCGGATTGCTCGGTTTTCATCCAGCAGTGAATTTGAAAGCGTTGGCTAAATTTGCTTTGGAAACTTTCCACACCCACATCCATATACCGGTGGATAATTACCTTTACAAGCGTAAAATCTCATCTTCAAATAAAGTCCAATCACCTTATCGTCTCCCCAATTACCACGTCCATGACCATCTTTCTTATCAATGCCACGAACCCCAGTACGGTCCGAGCCACTCTGGCGATCGAACTGACGTCCACCACGAAATCCGCCACGTCCTCGTCGTTCTCCGTTGAAGCTACCACGTCCGCGTCCACGGCGCTCGCCTAGAAAAGATGATTTTCGCAGAAAACTAGTCGAGGTGAAAGGCATTCGCACCTTGAAATTCCACAGCAGGAGCGTCACGTGGGACTTCTTCAACAACGTCTGAGGTATCCTTAGGTACATCCGTAAACGTATTAGCATTTCCACCACGTCCACGGCTACAAAGATACGAAGTAAATCCTAGCATTCGTGAAAAACAACCTAATAAAAAGTCGATGGAAAATCTATTTTGACGCAGTGTGAGAGCACTGGCCATGACTAACGCAACAGTTCAATTCCGATCGAAAAAAGGGGACAATGAAGCGGGAAATCGCTTCGGAAAAAAGGGGCGGTACTCCAATCCCGCC